TAATTTCAAATATCCTCTTCCCCTAAAACAAAGGAAAAGAGGACTGAGACTTCTACTAAAATTTCGACAGAGTCTCCCTTGAAAAATGGACGTGCGGGTGTAGTAACCCGAGAAGGTACGTATGATGGTAAGGTTCACAACCCCTATATACAATATAAATATAATATACCCTCCTTTAATTCAGTTTTCCCAAATATTTATTCATAATCTAGAAAATAATCTCTCACAAGCATAAATTCCATAAAGACCCAAAATATTCATAGCCTCAATAATAAAAAATAATCCAATTTAAATGTATGATAATCTAATATTTGAAAATAATGCTTGATCAAAACAAAGTCCACTCACTTCATAATAATCCTATCTGAAACTAAGTTCTCAATTTCATGTTATACAAATTTAACACATCCCATAATATCATAGCTAAAACAATAACATCTAGTAGACCGAATTCAAACTTAAAAGTTATCAGCATAGACCGAAATCCAAATCCGCATACCCTAATACCATTAATAATAATAACAATAATAGCGATAGTAACCCCCGTAAATCCCATATCACATTCTAAGAGTCGAAACTAGCCCGAGCATCCTCCCACACACCAGTAACCCATCGTACGCGTGGGCGACATTTATAACAATTCAGGGGAGGTACATATCCTGATGCAAAATTCTAATTTCCAAAACAAATCGTTTTCATATGACATAAATATATATAATAAAATAACACCCATACTTCCTTTTTGAAAACCATAATAAAGAAAAACACCAAAACTAAATAAGCCCATTCAATTTTATTAATATTCAAAACACTAATCATATACTTAGGAAATATACAATCTTTGAATGCCGAAATTTGAAAATTCTGATAAATGCCAAACATTCCAAAATTCCGAAGTTCTCCGAATCCATTCCGATCCAATTTTTCCAATTTTTTCCGAAAAAATCCTAATTTCTAGTTATAATTGCATTATTTTTAATTTATAGGTCTTATATATGTTTCATTTGCAGAGCAATTGTAGGATTGACAATTGTAGTATTCCAACTTGACAATTGTAGTGTTCCAATTGTCTAGAGCAAGATTAACGTCTACCACTCCTTATACATGTTCATGACCCACTATAATCTAAAACCAATGTGATGGTCACTCGGCTATAACTTGAGCATCAATTGATGAATGTGAATCCATCTTTACGATCAAATCAAAATTCACATGAGCAAAATATAAATATATAACATGTAGGACAAATTACTTTGATTAAGAATCAAATATATTATAATAGACTGTTGTATATCCCCCAGCTCACGCCATCTCTCTCTCTCTCTCCAAACTCTCCTCTTCATCAGGCCGGAAAACTTGAAACAATAAAAGGTGAATTCCAAATTGACCAAAAAAATAAAAGGTGAATTCAAACATGCTATAACTTTACTGTTGGATGAAAACCATCGGCGTTTTTTTTTCTTTTTCAATCCTACATGGAATTGAAGTGATGTAAAAAAGGAAACATTTCTAAACTCATTCTTTGATTTTCTTTCTTCCTTGATTAAAGTTTTCTTTCCATCTCAATACCAAACAAGTAATGAATTTGTGCAGACTCAGAAAAATAAATGATAAAGGAAGAGAGCTCTAATGGAGAATATATATCGGATAAATGATTTAGGGCAAACCCAGAAAAATAAAAATGTAAGAGAAGAAACAGTAGAGATAAAGAATTGAAGAGTGATTTCTTTTTTGGTTGGAGAAGTGTTTATTTTTTTTCCTAATGGGATCAGTACATATTGTTCCATATCTGAAGAGTTTAAGAAAGAAAGAAAATGAAGTTTGGCTTTTATGGATTAGAGAGGAAGAAACGGAAGAGAGAGAGGAGAGAAGCGATGGAGGAGTAACCGAGTAGAAATCAAGAAAAGAGTGGAGAGAGAAGTTGCAGTCCCATTTCTGAAACAAATTTAAAATTACGGGCACTAAAACTTTTGGACCCTCATTATTGTTGGACGTATTAAGTAGATGGTGCTGTGTTGGTCTATCGTGTAATCTTCTTCGTAGATGAACAATCTCAGGCAAGTTTGTCCAAAAAAAAAAAAAATTCTTATGCAAGTACAGTTTTGAATTTAAAATTTGGTTTTTGATTGAAAATATAATAAAGAGTGGTGATTTCCCAACTCATTTTTCTCCTATTTTATCCACTTACACTCCTTTTTTAGTTATAAAAAAAGAGTGTAAGTGGATAAAATAGGAGTGAGGAATCATTACCCATAATAAAAGCTTAATCCTGATCCTCTCCGCTTTAGCATGGTGAAAGAATATATATAATCATAAGAGGACAAATATGTGAATCCACTAAAAAGGACAAAATAGTCCTTTACTCCTAGGTGAATTGTTTCCACTTTTTTGTTTCTTTTGTGAAAGATTATTTATTTTATTTACTTATTTTGCTTCTAGTTAAATTGTTTTCTTTAATGTCTTTGACTTGACTTGATTCTTGCATCTGCCCATATGAGTAAACCAGATCAATTTGTGTGAAACATGGATAATATATATATTTTTTGTTTTCAGCCAATTACGGTATGTTAATTGTGTTTTCCTTGGGTATATTGTGATTGGCCGATAATAGCACTTGCATATAGTAAAACAGTGTTATCGTAGTATTCTATAATTTTTTCAGTTCACACGAATGTTTCTCCAAGTAACCACCACCGAATACATATAATATATCAAATATATAATAAATCTACTTTAGTTCTAGGTTGCCTTAGAGGCTTTTCGTAGTAATTTTTGGGTCTCATAAAAAAAAAAAACAAAACAAAACTTGGGAAGTCATTAGCATTTTTTAAATCAGAAATACCTAGTGTTATTAATAAAAAATGCAAAAACTAACTAACATTGTCATGGTCCAAGGCTCAACGTAAACGATCATCCTCAACATAATTAAGCAGAAAAGCCTTGGCCAAAAACAAAGAAAAGCAGAAAAAGCTATCAGTTTGATGCAATCCTATAGAAAGCTTATGCCTGAAATTAGCCATATGATCAACGTCACGATTTTGCTCTATGTACACTTAATACAACACTGCCAATCTCTGCCCGACACCTCTTTGCAGCCACTAATCAAACTGAACAATAAATGAGAACCATCAAACTCGTGAGAATGTATTAAGACATTCTAGTTAATACGAGGTTCAACATATTTATCATCATTAAATATTTTATCGTTTTAGGAGAAAAATTTGTATGTCACATATTTGTATTTGTAGCGGGTAAAATTTAAAAGCATTGTGCTATCGACCATCAGTCCATCACAACAAATAACTAACGCGATTGGTCTCCATCCATTCCGAGGATTACAATTGGAGGGTTGTGAGCATAGTTATCTTTCCAACAAAGGGACGATAGCAGCAGGTGCAATTCAAATTTGGTTCAAGTTAAAACTTGTGCAACCAATCAGTTCCATTTTTGGCAAGTGGTCCTGGCAAATTGGAATTGTTAATGTTTGATTCGATTTGAACACGGTGCATGTTTCACTCCAGTGCCAGAGAAAACCATTAAAACGTAATTAATGAGACTCACAAAAAAGGGTACGTGAAGACCGAGAGAGAATCAGCTGCAGAGAGAGAGAGACTGCAGAGAAAGAAGCCTGAGGAATGAGGTTGTCAGCGTCTCAGTGTTTTTCTCTTTTTTCTTTTTGAATTTTGCTATTAATGTTGCAATTTATTAAACATTTGTGAACCCCATAAATAAACGGACTTCTTCAACGGCACGGACCACTTCATTGATTAATAATTTATTTTTCAATCTCAAAGTACAAAACAGACAGTGATTGATTGACAACAACAACCACCAACCTTGGTATGTGCGGCTCCAATCCAAAATTAGGCTTAAAATTGAAATTATTTATTTATTTTTCAATTCAAAACGCAGGTTCTGGCCATATACGAAACATTCAATGTTTGGGTCTTGAATAATATACGAAAATTTGTACAACTTTATGTGGTTTAATAACATCATTACACATGTGCAATTTATATTGACTAAATTTATTGAACATGCAACCAAGCACCCACTTTTTTTTTTCTTTGTTTTTTTCATGTACTAGCCTAAACACTCAACATTCAATTAAATTTTAGAAATAATGACACGTGTAACAATATTGTTGGTGGTAAGGATGAGAAAAACGCAAGTATATTGTCCTCAAATTTATATTTATAACTAAATGCCTAATCTACATACCCTTTTGCCGCTAGGCATTCCTTACTTAATTATTCCAAACTTAGGTTAAAACTCATTTAACCTCGAGGAGGATGGGGCCAGGTTCTCCACTACCATTTAATATATATGAATATAAATATAATAGTGGGTTTGGCCATTTTCAAATTTGAAGCATGATTTGCACCTCTAGATACTATTTAAAATTAACTTAAGTGTGTTGTTTAATAAACTAATGCTAAAATCTATGATTTTTTTAGCTCAAATGGCTAGGGTAAAATAGCAAATGATATGTTCTAATAAGCTCGATCAAAAGAAATAACTCTATTATTCAATATATATGTCAAATTATGTAAGTGAACCTGCATAAAGAAAGGACGAGACATCTTTCTTCTTTCTTGTTTAACATTTGTAATAATTTTGAATTTTTATAAAGTCGTGATATGCGTACTACCAATTTGAATTTTTACTCAGTGGATTAAAACATGGTGATGCTTTATTAAGTGTTTACCACTTCTATGTATAAAAATTGAAGATAACAAACAAGAAGGACAAAGCAAGGACGAAGTGGTCATAATATAACACAAGGAACAAACATTAAATATGACTATGAAGTTCATTTCAAATTCCTATAAAAAAAAATTAAAAAAAAAAGAAGACAAGTACAACGAAGAGGAAATAAATTTGTCCAAACTGAACTGCAACCGCAGCTTTCATTTGAAATCCCTGTTTCTTGCACTTCACGAGGTTGCACGCTCTCTCTCTCTCTCTCTCTCTCTCTCTCTCTCTCTCAAAGTGTTCTCCCCCAGATGTTAAGTTATACAAACAAGTAGCCTTAACGTCTAGCTTTCTTTCATTTTCAAACCCCAAAAGAAACGCAAAGTTTGTGTCTTTTTCAACTCATTTTAACTCATCAGTTCAATTGACTCAAATGTCATCTGCAACAACAGTAACAGGAGGAGCAACAAGAAGACCAAAATGGCAGTACCCACCAGCACCACCAACCCCAAAAATTCTCCACTTTCCGCGTAGGCCTCGGCGGAGAGCATCCAAGAGCGTTCATGGTGGAAGACCCAATTCAGGGGAGGCCAAGAAGGACAACAAGGGCAAGCTGGAAGCTCTGTTTGACCAAGAACGAGTTTTTTCCAGGGTCAGTTTGCCCATTGTGCTTTTTGAGTATGGTGATGGGGAAAGCGAGTGCAGGAGAGAGAGGGTTAAAGAGGGTGAGGATGGTGGTGATGAAGTGGTGGAAGAGGAGAAGTGGAGATTTCAGACTGAGATGTTGAGGGCAGAGTGCAATTTATTGAGGATGGAGAAAGAGATTGCAGTTAAGAAGATGGAGAGGGTCAAGGTCAAGGTGGAGAGGACTCTTAAATCAGCTGTTCACACTCTTGTTTCTGTTAGTCTCCTTCTTCTTCTTCTCTCTCTCTCTCTCTCTTGGATTATTTGTTTTCTTTGGTTTTTTGAGTGGTCTGTTTGTTTCATTGAAGTTTAAAAACTCATTTGGAAACTCCAGTAACCTCAAATTCAAATAGTTGTGCCTTGCACAAGTTTTTGGATTGATAGATGTATTAGGTTTCAAAAGCAGGACTATTTTATCCTTTCTTATGTTTGATCAAGTAAAAAAGGAGTGGAAAACAAACAGTTTATCTGGTTTGAATATTACAGCTTCTTCGTTTCAACAGTATCAGTATGCTTTTTGGTTGTTCTTCTTTTCAATTTCTTGGATTACTTGGTGATTTTGTATCCATTTCTTAACAAGAAATTACAGGGAAAGAAAAGCAATGAACACATTGAAGTCAACTTGCTTTGGTATTTTTAGTTTTTTCTATTACTATGTGCTAAACATAATTTTGCATTCTGTTTTTTAATTATTTTCACGAATATATTACATTATATGGTTCGTCTGTGACATGTTTAATGCTGTGATTGGTTTTCAGGGGAGAAAGAAGATTTGCGAAGGAAAGAATGCAAGTATGGTATTGGAGGAAGAACTTCAACACTTGGCAGAAAAGCTAGAGAAGTTGCAAAGGAATTTAGGAGTTAAGGATTCGGAGGTTCGAAACACTAGTAATTTTGATAAACAAGCGTATCTTCTTCAAAGAAAGCTACAGAAGTTCAGACGAACATCGGATGAGATATGTGTCAAGGAGATCCAAGAGATGGCAGAAGCAAGCTTTTCGATCAAAACAAGCTATAGAGTAAATGAGAACTTGCTTTCGAGTGGCAAAAGTAATGTAAGGATTATCTGTCCTTCCTTCAAACTAAAGTGGTTGATCTTGCTTTGATATACAATTCTGTTCTGCAATTCCCCAACTCCCGTATTTAGTTGCCAAGACAACATGAGAATAGCAAAGAGAAATGTTTGTATACTTCAAATTCACAAAGTGATTGCAGACTTAAAGTCTTTGATTTGTCAAATGATAGAAATTCTCAAAACCCAAGTGAGGCATTGTTTTATTTGCATTATATTTTTTTTTGCCTAATCTGGTTCTGTTAAAAAACTATGCAGGTAGACATTCTCAGAAGGAAAATGGAGGGATTGTCAAATGGGATGCTATTAGAGAGGATGAAGGAAGAGTATGGTTCAATGCTGTCTACAGCCAACAGTTCTGTTGCCAGTTCTGCCTCTTCTTCTCAGAGAATTGAAGCCACCAATTTGTCGTCTTCTTTGATACAGCAATTTTACAAGGCAAGTCCTTGCTTCGGCTGTTTATTGTTTTTAGTTCCCAGTCTAAAAGAACGAATTATACTTATTTAAAAAAGCATAAAGGAAAAGAATTTGACTTAAATATGTTTGAGGTGAAATGCTCTCAATTTATGTTGGATATTCAAATGCTCGGCTCACACTTTTTGTTGATTTATCAAAAAAAGATAAAACAAACATCTATAGCATAGAAGGATTCCCTTTAAAGGTTAGACAATTTTCTATGCAGGAGAAGGAGTGTCGTGAAGAGAATGTGTGCTCAGGACGTTGCAAGGCGATAGTTCGAAGAATTGTAGAGCAAGTTCGAGCTGAGACAGAACAATGGTCTCAGATGCAGGAGATGCTGGGGCAGGTGAAGGAGGAGATGGAAGAATTGCATGCCTCTCGAGACTTTTGGGAAGATCGAGCGCTAGATTCTGATTATCACATCCAATCCTTACAATTCGTTGTAAGTTTCCATACCAGATTACCCTAAGTTTCAAAGGAGTGTACTCTTACAAATTTTACGCAGGCACTATATGAACACATTGACCTGAAAAGTAATTCTATTCTGATGTCTTTCTTTTTAGTTTATATTTTCTGTTTGCTTCAATGGATGTGAGATTGAGTCTTGGAAGAGAGGCATTCATAAGGCAAAATGATTGAAAGGGTTTTTCATGATGCTTGAAGGCCTGAAACTTAGTTTATATAATTCCTTTGAAATATATTCTAAGTCATTAATTGTTTAGGTGCAAGAATGGAAACAGAAAGCTGTCTCATCTGAAAGCAAAGCAAAGGAGTTGCAGGCACAAGTGTCTATGCTCCATGGAGAGCTTGATTGGTTGAGGAAGGAAGCAAGCATAAGAGCAATGAAGGCCAATGGTTCACCACTTATACCCCGGGATCCACAGAACGAAATGGAAAAACACGTCCTGATTTGTCACTTGAAGGAAAATCATTGTCCCAAAGAAGGTGGCAGCAAGCAAAGAAAACTAGCCATATGTACCAACAGAGTGCCTGTTGCTCCAAAACGATTACCCTTTCGAGACATCGGAAACTCCTCATTGCCGGTGAGGCAGAACAGCAAAGCAGTCTTCCCTTTGCATTGCCCTCTACCTTCCAAGACATAGAAAAGCTTTTGAGATTGGTTGCAGTGGATTCAACTTGGGAATCTTGCTCTATTCTAACCATAGTAACTGCAGGGGCTCTTCCTCTTTGCTAACCATATGAATTGTACGGCATAGTTGAAGATCCATGTTCTAATTTCAATAGTAGAGGATACCATTTGCGAGGGTTGGTGAGTTGCAATCCTGAGTTTCTAATGTTTGTTGTGGTTTTTCACTTATTGCATCAATGATATGCCGCCAATTTCTGTCACAGCTAATGAGCTAGAATCAGATGGTACAAATAATAATCTAGATAAATACAATTTAAATTAATTTAGCCCAGGTCAAAGCCAAATCCATAGTCACGTAGGCAAAGTCCACATGATTCAGTTAGCGTTTATCCGAATTGAACTGTCCCTAATCCTAGTATATAAGATGTGGATAATACTACGGAGACCGCATTTATAAGATCTATAAATGTGGTATCGTTAATATTTTGCATAAGATATTAGGTCTTTACACGCATTGCCAATTATTATTGATTAGATGCTCTAATTTTTTAATGTCATGAGAGTAAGTTATGCATGTCAAGCCCTTGAAGCACACATACTCTCCTGCATCCACTTAAAATCATAACGAATACATACTTAAAAAAAAAATAAAAAATTATGCTCTGTTGGTTGGGAGAATAGAGTATATATTTTTAGAGCATCTCTAAGGGAGATGTTAAATTCAGTGTGACACTTTTAGCATGTACAAAAAATAGATGAAACTCCCTCCATCCGAAATGTTAAATCCTACATCGAATAAATTTATTTCTCATGTTGTTATTTTTGGCTATTTGACTTTGTGATGTTATTTCATCATTCCATTATTTATTTTTTAATTAATGTGCCTAAAAAGTAATAAACCAATAACCATTATATACTAAAATAATATTTTAATTTGACATATCGAGTCGAATATGTCCAGTTGCAACATAAGCAATCAAATTCAAATTTAATGTTTGATATTTGACATCTAGATGCTCTAAAAACTAAAATTAATATAAAACTTCAAAAATAAATGGGCCTGAAGAAAGAGCTGGGCTAAAAAAGCTTTGCATCAGTCTAGCCCGTTCTTCATGGGCTACGACCCACAATTGTTTCCTATGTTCCAGCATAAAATGTGCCTCCACAGTTACTCAACACACCACAATCATCGCTCTCAACGTTGAAGCGTCTTCTCAAGACTCTCTCTCTCTCTCTCTCTCTCTCTCTCTCTCTCTCACGCACGCGCGCACACACACACACACATTTTCATTTAGCTGTGAGTTCTCCAAATTCATCTGAGTTTTTCATTCTCAATCGATCAACGTAAGGCTCTACATTTCTCGCTGCATATCTCTTCTAATGGATCTAGGGTTTCATTTAAATTTATGATTTGCTCTATGGATTTTCTGTATGTATTCCTCAATGTATTTCGTATTACAAGATTCTGTCATTGCCATTTATTTATTACGAGATTAAAAATATTGTTTTCCGTTTGGTATATATAACATTGTTTTATTATGTTCATAATGGTTATTGCAGTCGGAAAAATGTCAGGAATTTACATCGTCGGAGCTGTCTTGGGAACCTTTGGGCTTACATATGCTTTGGACAAGGTTGTTTCTGACAAAAAGTTATTTGGAGGTAGAGTTTTGATGATAAAGTTGCTTGATGAAACTGTGTTTATGTGAAAATAAAATAATTTAACCTAGATGATAAATAACCAGGGCAATACTCCGGTGACCATTTCGAAGTGATCAAAGGTTTCTTGCAGAACTCTTAATCAAGAATAATAAGGAACACAATGATTATGGAGAATGGAATAGAATCGAATGAAAACTGATTGATTAATTCATTATAATATTCGATTTATATACAGAATGAGTTTTCTAAAAATGGAAAACTAAAAATAACAATTGATTTTAAACCTTACATCATGTATGGTCCTACATTCGAAACTTTCCTGGGAGAAAACATCTCCCTCCAGAGTGCTTTCTTGTCCTTCTGCAGCTCTGAACTTTTCTGGCAGAATGAACACCATGTTGATGCCCAAATCACCCTGCAACAGGTTTTCCAATTCTGCACCAAAAGCTTCAGTTTCTGCATCTAATTCCCCATCATATTCCATCTGTTCCTCCCCGAATCCTTCTGTTTAGTCTTCCTGTTCTCCTGTTTCGAGGAGTGCATTCTGGTCATCTGCAGATGGCTCATAATCTAGCTGCTCCTCTTCATTTTCCTCAGTCCAGTCTTTTTGCCCTTCTGCTGGAATAGGTTCAGATTCTCCTTGTATCTGTGAAGGTTTAAATTGATTTTCTGAGGATGAAGCAAGATGGATAGAAGGCTTAACTGGAGACCAGTTTTCAACATTTTTTGTGGCTGGATTACTTGTTCTGCCTGGGAAGGTATTTCCGGATCTTTCCCTTTTATGTCAGAAGTGGTCTCCGGAGGTGCCTGTGCATCACTTTTATTCTTGAGGAATATGCAGTATTGCCTTTGAACCCTCCTCTTCTGGGTTCTGGTTAATTCCGTAGTTGGTCTGCCACTTCTCCCGACAGCATACCACCTTCCTTCTATGATAGCAGCCAGAGGTCTCGCATTCCCGGGCATCTTGATTGATATTTCCTTCTTGGGCTGCTCTGTCATCCTCCTGATGTGCTGGGCTGGTCTGGGATACTCCTTCCGCCTGGCTCTATCTCGGGATGAGGTTCCAATCCTGTCAAAAACACTCGGAATGGGCTGACTCTGCCTGTCCAGGACCACTTCTAGCTCAGCTTCACATTTGCACTTGCTGCAGAGCACTACTCCAGCTGAGATAGTTGCTTTTGGCCTTTCAATAGTTTCCCTTGAAACCATTTTGCCTCTGCTGGAACTGGCTTCTGTCGTTGGCCAGTTTCTCGTCTGTTCTGGCCAATTTAAGTTGACCATGTTGACTTGTGGTTGGGGAAAAGGATCTGTTGTGACTGAAGAAGATTTCTCTGCAAGTTTCAACCTTCTTGCTGTTATTCCTTCCTGTATAACATCTCTGAAAACTACACAACTATTGGTACAATGGTTCCAAGAGTTGTGCCACCTGCAATACTGCCTGCCTTTGACCTCTTCTGGCTTGGGCATCCTGTGGGGGTGTCTCTATTGCCTTTTGCAGCAACATTTCATCAAATAAAGCATCCACCTTGGTTAGATCAAAGGAATAAACCTTGTTATGTGTTGGTTTGCTCGGAACAAAACCTCCTGTGAAAGGTGGCGGCTTCTGATCCTTTGGTGGCTTAGTAAGGGCCTTGCAGTTGATGGGACGTTTCAATTTTGCCATTTCTGCTACTGCAACTTCTCCCTCCTCTGAGCATTATGCTTCCTCTTCTGATTCTACCTGAACCAGACGTATTGAAGAGGAAGGTGACTTGTAATACGTGCCTTTGGATGAGTTTCTCTTCTGCTGTTCTTCCCTAAGCAGTTCCTCATACTTGGATGCTTTATCTGCCAGTTCTGCCAGGTCTCTAAACAGCATCCCATCAAATCTTTTTCTCAGAGAGATCTTGAGGGCAGCCTGAGCCATCTGGATGAAGTGTCTTTCTTCCATAAGGATCCGGCACTTTATTTTGAGCTTCCTGAACCTGGTTATAAAGTCTTGAGCAGGTTCATCTTCACTTTGCTTGAGGGCAGCAAGGTCACTGATTGTGACTTCTAGTTGAATCCTGTAATAATAGTCGTGGAAAACACTTTCCATCTGCTCCCAGGTTTGAACAGAATTAGCTGGCAGGTTGGTGTACCGAGTAAAAGCTTGTCCAGAGATAGAATTCCCAAAAAGCCTCAACTTCAAAAGAGGATTGTTCTCTATGGCTATGCACTGGACAGAGAACCTGCCTATGTGCTCAACTGATAAAGCATGGGGATCCTCTCCATTGAATAAGGTGAAGTTTGGCACCTTAAAACCCCGGGATAGAGGTATTTGATCGATATAAGCCGAATATGGCTTCTTATAGGTGGGCCTTTCTCCTCTTCTACCTTCAGGCTCCATCATCTCTCTGATCATCCTTTGTAATGCCCCCACGTCATTCAGAGCATTGACAAGGTGGTGATTTCGCCCCTGTTCTAGCTGGGCGTGATCAATCCTGGGCTCCGCTCTGTATGGCTTGGGTAGAACTTCCTCCCTGTGTTCTTCCTGTTCTTCTAGATCTGGATTATTCCTCCAGTTTGCCCCCAGCCTGTTCCTGTCATTGTTGGCAAAAAGGTTATTACCCCTTCCGCCTCTTCTGCCTATTGTAGGTGGAGGGAATAGATTGGGATCCATCCTTCTGGGTCTATAAGGCAACACTGCTGGTGGTTCAGGCAGAAGTGCCAAAGGTTGATCCTGTGGAATAGGGTGAGGTTTTGGCTGGTTCTGTTGCATCTGAACTGGTGCAGGGCCTTCTGGCCTAGCTGGGGCCTCACGTTCTTGGACAGGAAGTGCTCTTCCCCTCTGTCCAGCCTGAATTTCCTCAAGTTCTAGCATCTCAGCTATCTGCGCAATAAGAGGATTCTCTTGATATGGCCATGCCAATCCTGGTGGGGGACCATAGGGAAGGTCTAGCTGCTGGACTACAGCATCCAGATTTGGAATTCTGGCCATGGCAGCCTCACGATCCTTTCTGAACTGCCTATTGACCTGCCATTGCATCATGGATGTCATATTATTTAGAGTGTCCTGGCTCCTTTGTGTTGTGACCTCTTGTCGCAACACATATTCCTAAATCAGGTTCATCCTTCTGGAGCCGGTCCTGGATCTTCTGCTCCCTGTGCTGCCATGTGCTGAGTGTCGGGCATCACTCTCCTCTAACTCCAGTCCTTCCCTGAGAGCCACCTGGTTTATCTCCATGGCGTGGTGTGGGTTTTGGCTAGAGCTTCCAATATTCATAATCTTGATAGGAATTCTGTGAGAATATGTATACTGAGAAGTCCCACTGGGTGTGCCGTTTTGCGTTTACTCCTGTGGTGGAAGGGTAAAGTTCCCCACTGCCTTTTGAACCATTGACTGGTCAACAAGTCAGCTTTCTTTGGTGTGCGAGCGTGCCACTGCTAGCAATGAAGATTCTAGCAGACTTAGTTTAGAATGGATAACTTGCGCCCCAAGTTACTGATTTCTGCAAACAAACGATTGTGAATTTGGGTGAGGAATA